GAAGAGGGGGTGGTGGGGGAGAGATAAACCACATAACTTATATGCATGTATGCATGAACAATGGACATGAACAACAAAGCTGGGGACAGGGTGGGGAGGGCCAGAGGGGAGAATCAGTGGGGGAAAAGAAGAAACATCTGTAACAAAAATAAATTAATTGATTAATAAAAAAATAAAATAAAATAAAATAAAATAAAATGGACAATAAAACATTTTAAAAAAACATGTATTGAATAAATAAAGACCACAATTACTCACTTAAATAAAATAAAAAAGATAGTAAAATGAAAAAAAAAAAAAGAACAGCAATAACTACTTAGTTATAATAATATGTTGATCATTTAATAATTCATGATCCTTTGCCCTAGGTTATTAAGTTGCGTTCTAAAATAATTGGGATTTTTTAACATATTTTATTGTTTTTTATATCAAATTTAATACACCATGATTATAGATTATAGTCTATGTAATTTTCATTATTTGAAATAGGTTTAACATATAGTTTATCTTTGTGAATGTCCCATGTACACTCGAAAAGAATTTTGTTGTGGACAGAGTTTTGTAGATCCTTGGACCTTCTGGGTGCAATTTCTTTGAGAAATATATTGTACTGTAAATCTCTTTTCCTTGGTTGGGCTTGCTATTATCCTCTCTTCATGTTGTTATGAGAAGTTTATATTTATTTACGGTAAGCAATTTTTTATAATGTGTAATAAATTTTGGCTCCCCTCAGGTCATCATAGTATATTCTATTTTCTTCCAATACATTATTGTTTTACCTTTTACACACAGGACTATAATACAGCTGAAATTGATTTTTTTGTGTGAATGGTGTGACTTAGGACTCATGACTACATTTTTTCCCCCATGTGGCATCATTGTCATGCAAAGTTATCCTCTCCCTGTTGCATTGCAATGGCACATTGTTGTGAATCTAATGAGTCTATAGATTCTATATATTGTTCCATTGGCCCATTTTTCAGTCATTTCCTCAACGCCAGCCTTTCTTTACTATTCTTGATAAAAACTCAATACCTGGAGCTGTAAGAACTTTTTTCTTTTTCAAAATTGTTTTGACTATTTTAGATCTTTTTATTTCCATATAATTTTAGAATAGGTGTATCAATTTTTATAAAATACCAGCTGAAATTTGATTGAAATTGCTTTGAGTCCATAGTTCAATCGAAGCAAGCTGACATGTTTACAAATTAAGCTTTCCAATTCACAAAGATGGCATATACCTCCGTATTATTTTTTTAGGTTTCTTTAGTCATTTTCAATAAGCTTTTGTAGTTCTCTATATATAAGTCTTTTATGGCTTAGGCTACATTTATTCCTAGATATCAGGTATTTTTTTTAACATATTTTTACTGATTGTAGAGAGAGAGGAAGGGGAAGGAGAGAGAGAGAAACATTGAATGATTGCCTCTGTATGCACCCTGACCAGGGACCAAACCCACAACCCAGATATGTACCCTGACAGGGAATGAACTGGCAACCTTTCAGTGCACAGGATAACGCTCAACCAACTGAGCCAGTCTGGCCTGACAGATATCACATAGTTTTGATGCTACTGGAAATGGTACCTTAAATTATATTTCCTAATTGATTCTTACTAGTATGCAGACATACAATTGATTTTTGTATTGATTTTCTAGTGACCTTGATAAATTCACTTATTAATTTAATAGTTTGCAGAACATTTAATATTCTACATCATAATTATGTCATGTGAGTAAATCTAATTTACTTTATGTCTTTCTAATTTTTAAGATGTTTATTATTTCTTTGTCTTGTTTTATTGCACTGGCTGTAATCTCCAGTATAATGCTAAATAATTGTGGTGATTATAGTTATCTTTGCTTCTTTCCTGGTGTCAGTGAGAAACTTTTGATTATTCACTATTAAATATAATACATACTATCTGGTTTTGTGGGAGAGGTGACCATTTTATTTATTTTCTTTTATTCTGTTAAAGTTGGGTATTATATGGTTTTTTTTTAATGTTAAACCAGCCTTATTGTAATCATGTTTGACATTTGAAGGCTTCTAAGCTCTACTCCTCCTCCTTCTTCTTCTACCCACATCTGAGAAAACTAATAAGAAAGCCTGGGCAATCCCTTCTTTGTGACCGGTGAGAACTTCAAACCATGTGTGGGAATCCTCAGCCTGCCCCCACCCCAAACACACAAAAATTCCACTCTGGTCACCTTTCTATATAGCTCTTTCAAGCTATATTTGGACCAGCATGGGAAGCCTGTCTTGTTCTCTTTAGAAAACTTTATTATGAAAGTAATATACCTTTTTATACCATCTTGGTGTTGGTGGCATCATCAGTTTCAAAAACTGTACCAAATTTTGAATGGAGATTCATCCTGCCCTTGCAGAGTTGTCACAATAACTGGTGTGTCGGCTGTCTAGATGATGATTGCTACCACTGGGGTCTTCCTTTTCTTGCTTTGGCTTGCAACCTGGCTCTGCTGTCTGCTTGCGAGCATGCACGCTGAGCTGCTGCTTTCTGGCTAGCAGGTTACTTGAGAGGTGTTGCTGTTTGCTGTCAACCTTGTACCTTGAGCTGTTCTGCTTTATGCCACATTTACTGAGGCCTCTGTTACGGACTTAACAGACCTAATCAGAAGTTTCAGTAATTGTCATTTAGAGTAAGGAGTATGAGTTGAGTCATGTATCTCAGCCCCAACCAATCAATGTGTCTGTCTCACATTGAATTGTGTATCTCAAGTCCTCTCTAAATAATGACTGACACTAAGCTCAAGGGAATAATCTTACCTTGTGAACATTGGTGTGTGCCACCTCCATTCTGTGAAGTGCTCATTGGGAAAGACTGATAACCTGTGCAATATATGGTCCTATCAGGTGATCGCTCATGTGGAGAACAAGCAGTTACTGTGGCATGCTGAGGCCACACCCTTAAAGGCAGATGGTTTACTAGGATTCTGCAAAATGCCTTTGCTGCTGCTGCTGCTGCTGCTGTCGCTGCCTATGCCTCTGCTGGAAAAGAATCCTCATCCTCAAGGCTATAGGAGAACACACATATGGCACCTGTGTGGCACAACTTAGATGTTAATTCAACTATTTCCATGGGGAGACCCCAAACTCTGCTGATACTGGTTTGATGTTCTTTGGAGGAAAAAATTTATAGATATAAGCAGGGCAGAGATTAAAAAAAAAAAGAGTGGGTTGGGGTGAGGAAGGGAGGGAAAGAAGGAGGAAGGAAGGAACGAATGAAGGAGGAAGGAAGGAAGGAAGGAAGGAAGGAAGGAAGGAAGGAAGGAAGGAAGGAAGGAAGGAAGGGAGGAAGGGAGGAAGGGAGGAAGGGAGGAAGGGAGGAAGGGAGGAAGGGAGGAAGGAAGGAAGGGAGGAAGGGAGGAAGGGAGGGAGGGAGAAGGGAAGAAAGAAAAAATAGGAGGACACAAAAAACTGAAACACAATGTCATGTAATTGGAAATCCAAAATTTATTACAAGACTTTATATATCAAAAGATTTGTTTAGAAAGAGAAAGAGAGAGAGGAGAATTGGCTTTGTGCCTCTATCATATAGGTTCTGGATTAACTTTAACATCTGATGAAATTCACCAAACAAAAAATCTTCATGACCTTAATCCATACTGAAGCTCAAATTATACTTAAGCCTAGGGATCTCACTAAATTTAAGCAAGTTACCCTGTAATCTTGGGGAAGTTACTGAACACAAAATAGAGAACAAACAAGTATGCCTCACCTTAATTGTTAGAACTATTGACTTTACCTAAATTTCACATGATCATACTATCAATTGCCCCCTAAAATATTTTGCAGTGACCATGGACTCTGTGACCCAATGTGAAACAAATTAAAATTAAATTAAGTCTTTGATACAAATTGGCTTGACAAAATGGGACCTTACCTTAGTTAAAACAGTTAATATACCAAATGTAAATTCAAACAGAGCCTTCAAAGAGTGAACCCATTATAGAGGATATATTGAGAGAAAGAGTGATATGCCCACTGTGGCTCCATTCAACAACTCATTTTGACCTATTTTTAAATTTAGAAAGAATAAAGGTGACTCACAGTGGACTATCACAACCCTAATGCCATGGGCTTACCCATTAAGTTCCCCTGCCCAATATTATTGAAGTTGCTGACTCTATCCCATCAGCAACTGGTAAATATTTTGCTTTCATGAATTTGGTTAATAATGTTCTGTTCTGTGGCCGTTTCAACAGCCTGTCAGTCAGAGTTTGCTTTTACCTTTGAAGGGGCACAATAAATCTTTGCCCAGACACTCCTGGAGGACCTCAACAACCCTGCCATTGCACAAAGGCAAGATCTTAAAAACATCTGACGTTAGGAGCACAGTGATAATATAACATTGAGGAGTTATCCTCCAAAGGGATTCACTGAGCACACTCAGGACAGACATATTCACAAAGAAGCTCCCCAAAAGAGGATGGGCCATTGTCCCACACATATTGTAGGTTCCAGTCACCTCAGTTTAATTCCTGAAATTATTTGGTAATCTGAGGACCACTCCATCCCTGACACTGTTAAGAAACAGCTATTGATCTTTTCAGCACCCACAATATTAGAACAGGCCCAATATCTGTTAGACTTTTTTGGGTTCTGAAGACAATATATCCCTTATATAAATTTTACTTAAGCCGATTTATGCTGTTACTTGCCAATTGGCCCACTTTGAATGGGGATCCCCTCCAATAAAAGGCTCTACAATCTTCCCAAATTGCAATGCAATGGACACTCCCATTCATGCCCTCCAGAGATCCCTTCATTCCAGAAGCTTTAGCAACCTCCTCTCATGCCTCCTGGAGTCTCTGAACCACTCAGGATGGCCACTCTCTCTCCAAGGTCATTGCATTCTCCCTGTGAATCATCAAAGAAACCAATCATATCTGGACAGATTGACCCTCACGAAGTCTCTAGGTTGATTGTAGACCTTGAAAAAATAATTCTGCACAGCAGCTTATATTATAAAAGCATTTTATTGAACACACCCTGGAGGTAGTCAGAACCAGAACACAATTTTGGATTGGGGTGGGGACTCTGTTTTGATGGTTTAGCTACTGGAAAACTTTGGATTTTTCTCTTATCAAGGACCATGCTGTAGAGACTGAAAGGTTGATTTGAAGTAGAACATCGGATCGAGGCATAGGAAACTAGAGACTGGGGATTGGGCCCTTTCGGGAACCAAAGACTGTGGTTCTGCAATAGGCTTGGTCTAGACTACACGCCAGTAAAAGAGAAAACTTGGCTTGGCCACCACTTAGAAGAGTGGTCACCAGGGGCCGGTTGCTGCCCTAGGGAAGCAGTGTCTTGCAGCAGGCTTAGTTCTTGAAGCTCTTCCGGGTGGAGGAGGTGGTGGACACAAATTTGACGCTGGAGCCGCTGCCCCCTCCACTGCCGCTGCCTAAGCCCAAAGACAGGTTTCGGCCACTGCTTGAACTGAAGCTAGAGCCCCCCGCACTGAGCCCACTACCTAGGCCGGTAGAGGCCGCCATTTGGGAGTAGTAGCCACCGCCACTACCTCCGCCAAGACCTCCGCCAAGGCCTCCACCAAGGCCTCCACCAAGGCCTCCACCAAGGCCTCCGCCAAGGCCTCCACCAAGGCCATAGCCACCGCCACCTCCGTAGGCAGAGGAGACATTGCTTGTGACGACAGCTGCAGAGAAAGGAGAGAGAGCTTGCTGAGACCAGTCTGTCAGATTGATCCTACACATCCAAGTGATTTGATCCTGCTAGTGTGGCCGCTGGACCTGGCCCCTTTCACAGAGTAGCAAATGAGGCCCAGACAACTAAGTCATTTAGTTAAGGCCCCTTACAGAAAGGGATGGTGCTAAGTTCCCAGGGGAACTTAGCAGGGCAGGGGGGCAGGGTACAAGATGTGTAAGATACAGGGCCTACCCCTTAAGAGGTAAGACATGAGCCACATTGCTTCATGTCTCAGTGTGTCCTTTCCCCTCCACTAAGTGTATGAAATAACCATGTATTGGGATGGGAATGTCTGGAATCTAGAAATAGCAGGATTCTGAGTTGGCAGCAAATAACATATATTATCATCATTGTTAATGTCAGTTTAAAGTTACTTACAGATGTTGACTTGTCCAACTCCTTCTCCACTCAGTCTGAAAGGGGGAAAATTAAAATAAGAGTTAAAAATTCCCCCAAAGACAATACCTATAAGCATGTTTAAAATTTGATCTATAAACAAGGAGCCTGAATATACATAAACAAACAAAAACCTGCTTAAATTAAAGAAAAAGCTCTTTGGAGGGACTTCCCAAAGACGAGGACCTGTCCTAGAAACAGGTTATTAAAGGAAGATTGTAATTCACATTCTCCTCTGCCCATCATACGGAAAGCATGATTAAGAGACTGTGGGTACCATGAACATGTAAGAAGCGGTTTTTGCCTTGTAGGTGCTTACATTCTGTGAGAGGACTTGGCATGGACAGAAATACTTCGAACAGAAAGTAGGCAGTGCGCAGTGTCAGAAGATTGAAGAAAACAGAGTAGTTTGAGAATCCAAAGGCAGGTAAATTTAACTCAGCTGGAGGAATCATGAAAGGCTTCCTGAAGGAAGAGGTACTTGAAGAATGGGGAAGACATTTGTTGAGTTGCTTCGTTGTTTGAAGAAGAGGCAGCATCTGAAAATACTGGCGGTGGGAAAGGGTTGGAAAAGTGAATTGGGACAGTGTTGTGTAGGTCAGCTGTATGCCCAGGTGGCAGACTGAATCCAGATTGGTGGTAGATAATTATCATGCACAAAATAGTGCTCACTTGTGTGTGTGTCACCCCCTGTAGTGGAGAAGAAGCTCCACTCATCAAATGTAAGGCCGTCCTGGGCTTGGGAAGCCAGCCTTAGGTCACCCACCTGCACTCCTCGCCCTCCAGCAGCTTGCGGTAGGTGGCGATCTCCACGTCCAGGGCCAGCTTGGTGTTCATCAGCTCCTGGTAGTCACGCAGCAGCCGGGCCATGTCCTGCTTGGCCTTCTGCAGGGCGTCCTCCAGCTCAGCCAGCTTGTTCCTGGCGTCCTTGAGGGCCAGCTCGCCACGCTGCTCAGCTTCAGCAATGGCGTTCTGCAGGTTGGCGCACTGCAGGGGGAAAGGGGAGAAGTGAGGAACTTCAGCAGTGAACTGGGTCTGTGGTATTTTGTCCTGAGTTTCCAGAGAGAAGCCAGTACGTGCTTCCTGGGCATTGTGGATGAGGGGATATTGAAACGCTGGTCCTTGTTCCAGTTCCAGTGTGTGTGTGACTGTTTAGAAAGTGTAAAGCACACAAACTAGGTCTCTCTTTAAGAGCTCAGGACCCTCCTTGCCTTCTTTTAACCTCTCCTCACCTGCTTCTTGACGTTATCGATCTCGGCTCTCAGCCTCTGGATCATCCGGTTCATCTCGGAGATCTCGTGCTTGGTGCTGCGGAGGTCGTCACCGTGCCTGCCCGCTGTCTGCTGCAGCTCCTCGTACTGGGGCCACCAGAAGAGAGAAAAGGATCCATTTATATGAGGACGGAAACACTTTCCCAATGTTCATAGTCAGGAGCTACCAAGAGGTGGCAAGCGGTGTAGTTATCTGAGGCCTGGGACAGGTTTCGACTGTCTCATGGTGGACCTGGTCTTAGATAATTTCCTCTTTAGTGCTTTTGCTCTTCTGGACACACTGATGAGATTCCCCTTGTGGTTCTTGAATTTATGTGGCAAAGGCATGCATGACTGTTCTCATAACTCAAGGGGTTTCATCAGGTTTCAGGAGCCCCCTCCTTAGCATTCTGTCATGGCCTGGAATCCTAGACACGTGTCCCTTCCCTCACTCAGGACACATTCGCCACAGCACCCACCTTGGTCTGGTACCAGGACTCGGCTTCTGTCCGGCTGCGGTTGGCGATGTCCTCGTACTGGGCCTTGACCTCGGCGATGATGCTGTCCAGGTCCAGGGAGCGGTTGTTGTCCATGGACAGCACCACGGACGTGTCGGAGATGTGGGTGTGCATCTGGGACAGCTCCTGTGGGAGACTCGAAGTCAGGCACCTGATCTGTGCAATTTTATGTCAGGTCCACTCAAATATTCCACTTACTGTGGTGTCAAGTTGAGAAAAAAATGATAACCACCTACATCAAATATTTAGTTATGTTAATAAATAACTCAAACCGTTATTACATTTATTTTTAAAAACTTTAACAACTCTGGCCCTGGTCAGTTTGGCTCAGTGGTTAGAGCACTGGCCTGCAGATCAATGAGTCGTGGGTTCAGTTCTGGCCAAGGGCATGTCCCTTGGTTGCGGTTTGTCCCCGGACCCGTTTGCAGTCATGCGGGAGGCAACCAGTCCATGTATCCCTCTCATGCAGGACACATGTTTCTCTCTCTCCCTCCCACTTTATCTGAAGATAAATGAAAAAATGTCCTCGGGTGAGGATTGAAAAAAAAAAAAAAGAATAAGAAACAAAACTTTTACAACTTCGAACTTCCAAAAAACACCTGCTATGCAGCCTCACAGATGTGACTCTTCTGGGGCCATAACTTATTTCAAAAGAATCTAGTTGACTGGTCTGCCCCACGGGCACAAAATGGAGCGGAGGTTCAGGAGGGTGTAACTGCCTGTACCAACGCTAAACCTCACTCAGCAAAATGATTGTTGAAGAATTTGCTTTAAATTTGACTTTGGTTTTTTTAAGGATTGGTTTTACAAGTAACAGTGAGAGTATCCTAAAGGAATAGGAAAGACAAGGATGTGTCCATGGCTTAGGAGCCCCTGGAAGTCACTTAATCCTGGATACCCCAAACCCTGCTGGTGTCCCGGTGACCATCTCCCTGGGACCTGATAGGGGGCATTTCTTACCGCCTCGAAGAACATCTTCAAGAAGTTGATCTCATCCATGAGTGCATCGACCTTGGCCTCCAGCTCCACTTTGCTCATGTAGGCGGCGTCCACATCCTGGAGATACAGGGATGGTTGGCACTGCACCTGGGTCTCCACCCTGACTTAAATGAACGACACCCTAAGAGAACATAACCACAGGCAACAGGTTCTCTTCTCCCATGTACCTTTTTCAGCATCACAAACTCATTCTCAGCAGTGGTGCGCTTGTTGATTTCATCTTCATACCTGGGGATAAAAGGGATGGGAAGGGCTTGTCAGAAGATGAGGGACAGGTAAAGCCCCAAAGGGCAGGAATTAACTGCAAACTACGAAGGTATTTGCCTGGGGTCTTTATTGCATGAAGGCACCTGTGAGCTTGTTTTCCCACTGGGAAGGGGCTTCTCTTCACATCATGAAGGCGGGGTGGGGGTGGGTACTGGTCATGTGAACCCCTGGGCAAGTCCCTACTCCTCAGATACTGTTTTCTTTGTAACTGCCTGCCAGATCATCATTCTATTACTGCTGTAATTTAATTGCTTGAAGAATATACGTATAGAAACCTGTGCTGTTTCTTCCCAACTCCACATCTAGTCAATTTCTCTAATGCTTTTTTTTTTTTCGGCTTTCACAGTCTTTAAAAAACAAAAACCTAGTGGCCCTGCTGCTGGTTCACAAGTATTTGAGCTCCCAAGCTGTATGTCATCCATTCTCGCTGTGGAGGGGGCCCATCAAAAAGCCCATGCTGTGTACTCTGGGTGTACTGGGAGGAAAGCCCCAAAGAGCAGGAATTGCACCGCTTGCTATTTCCCCAACTGGTACCAGGGTGTCAAGCTGATTGCTCTGGCCGGTGGCTAAGTGCCTGGCACAGCTTGGGGCTAGGACTTTCTGGACATGGACCTGGATTTCATGTTAGTACTCCAGGTGTTCATGGCAGGCACAGGTGTCTAGCCTTTGGGAAGGCTATAAAGTACATTGGTGCCAGGAAGGCACCACCCGCCCTGTCTCCACTCCACCCGCTCTCACTTGTTCTTGAAGTCCTCCACCAGGTCCTGCATGTTCCTCAGCTCCGAGTCCAGGCGGCCTCTCTCCCCCAGCACACCGTCCAGCTGTCTCCTGAGGTTGTTGATGTACTGCTCGAACAGAGGCTCCAGGTTCTGCCTCACGGTCTTGGTGCCCTGCTCCTGCAGCAGGGTCCACTTGGTGTCCAGGACCTTGTTCTGCTGCTCCAGGAAGCGCACCTGGAAGGGACAGAGTTTGAAGATGGAGAAACCTGGATTTCATGCTTCAATGATCATCACCAGCTTTTCTCCCTTCTCACGCTGTCCTCATAAACCTTTCCCACGGGCATGCCTGGCCCTGGGCCCTGGGAGGGGTCCAGGGTGCAGCACCAAGCCTCACTCTTCTGGGGGGACAGGGCGATCATGCAGGGCACAGGTAGCTCTGGCACGCCGGGCGGCTTGTGGCCCCGTGGGGTGGTGGCTGCGCAGGCACACAGGCTGCCGCCAAATACTCGTCTACCTTTCTGCACAATCAGCCCTCACACAAAGCACAGAATTCATCTCTTTGCCCGACAGTAATCAAGGAGCCCTTATGGGGTGAACTCTCAATGGGAAGAACTAAGACCCTGTCTTTCAAGCTGCCGGTCTGATTAGGAGAATGGGCCACAAGTCTGGGACAGAAACAAATAGAAACACATTAACTGCAAACTACGAAGGTATTTGCACAAAGTCAGAAGATATTCCTCCTCCTACTTTCTTTGATATTTGTTCTACACTCGTAGTGGTTTTTGCCAAAGGATCCCGGCTCACCTTGTCGATGAAGGAGGCGAACTTATTGTTGAGGGTTTTGATCTGCTCCCGCTCCTCAGTCCGCACTCGCTGGATGGTGGGGTCGATTTGTAGGTTGAGGGGAGTCAGAAGACTCTGGTTGATGGTGACCTCTTGGATGCCTCCAGGGGGACAAACAGGGAAGCCAGCGCCACCAAAGCCACCTCCAAAGCCAGCGCCTCCACCGAGCCCTAAGGCAGCGCCTCCACCAAACCCATAGCCACCACCAGCTCCACCGCCTAAACCAAATCCGCTCCCAGCTCCACCTCCAAAGCCAAAGCCACCTCCGGCACCAAATCGGTTTCTAAAGCCACCGCCGCTCGTGCTGATGGAGATCCTCTTGGAGCCCCCCAGGTTGTAGAGGCTCCGGCTGCCGTAGCCTCCTCCTCCACCAGCACCTCCAAGGCTGATCCTGCCAAAGCCTCCACCGCCACCGCCCCCGGATCGGGACATAGAGGTAAAACTGGTGCGGGAGACAGATGGGGTGATGGCAGAGGCAGCGCTGAAACTGCGGCTACCCCCGCTCCGGAAAGACACACTCGACTGGCGAGACATGGTGGCTTGTTCCTGCGGAGCAAGGTGGTTGATCTCTAGGGGTTGGGAGGTGCTGGAGAGAACAGAGCTCAGCAAGATGCAGAAGGTGGCTGTTACCTGGACCTGCAACCCCCTTTTATCCTCTAGAACAGGGCTGGGCGGGACAGCTGTCGAGCTGTGAAATGATTAAGTGGGCTGGGCACGCCTGGGGGGCAGCTGTGAGCTCACTGGCACACCTGCACTGTGGTGGGGGTGCGAACGCTTTCTTCCTGGCAGGCTCTGCTCGGTTAGGAATAACCTTGCCTTGCAGCACTGATGTCTTGGCAGCAAGTCGCACTTCCCCCGGGGGCCCGGGGCTGTGAGCAGCCCAAGAAGGATGCCGGGAAGAAAAGGGGCATTTGGCCAATGTCCCAAGGGACGCTTACAGGACCAGGGATGTTGTCAACCATCCCAGCACGATATGCTCTGTCCGTAAGAGGGGGACACAGTGAGTCCCACTTGCAGTGATCTGCCTTGCTCACCTTCTAGACAGGAGGTTACTGCATGGATTTTCAGCACTTGGAAGGCAACTTTGGCCTGATAACAACCCATCCTTTACTGCAGAATTGCCTTTCTTGGGGGAGGCATAGTTATCCCTGAGCCCAGGGGAAGGTTCTTCTGCAAGGTTTGGGCCAGAAAGTCTCTCCACACCCCAAGCTCCAGAAGCAGAGAAAGTGGGGGCACACTCAGTTCCTCGTCTCAACCACTCTGCAGGGGCAGACCTATCCCTCCACAGCTCCTCCTCACTCAGCATCTTCTGTGAAATTTGATCTTTTCCCTTGCACTGCGGCCTGGGCAGGACCCTGCCTGCCGGGCTGAGCAAACCCAGGGTCCCTGCAATTCCTCACAGAGGTTCTGAGACTCGGCCGGGCAGTCACGTCGCGCTGCGGGGCCTGCTCTGCCCGCCCCAGCCCCCAGCTGTGTTCCAGCAAGCCCTTGGTTATTCCACCAGGCCGGCGTGAGTCATTGCGTATCTGTTGATACAGGCTGAGGGCCGCGCAAACACATACCTGCAGGAGCTTCTAATCTCATCAGGAACATGTTGAGAATCCGCCGGCCTGTTATAACGGAGAACCGCCCGCTCCGAGCAGCGGGAACTGCTGCGCTTTCTCTGGGCTCCGGCCCAAATTCTCCTTCGGTGCCAGGGGAATGGAAAACCGAAGTCTAAGTCTACGGATGGTCCTGCCAGCGAGACTAGACAGAGCAGGTTAGGGGACCAGGGAGCTGGCATAGCAATCTGCCCCGACTGTTTTAGGGAGGCCCCTTGTAAGATCCTCTGCAAGGCTTGTTTGAGTGGGCTTGTACCAGGTGGAGGGCAGGGGTCTGCTTAGGATTCGGCAAATGTCTGTCCTAAAACCACACCCCCTCTTTTTGGCTCAGACCTGAGTGGAACCACCTCTTTGCCTCCCCCAAACAAAAGCAGGACTCTCAGGCAGTGCTTGTGTCATTAAGAGCCATGGGGGCACCCCCGGGCTGGGGCTGGAGGTGGGGGGGTGGCTCTGAAGCCTCCGAGTTGAGGGACTACATTCTTCAGAGTGAAGGAGTAAGGGCCCGGCCTGAGCTCTGGTATCTCTAGTCAGGGCCTGTCCTTGGCCTCAAGGGAGCCTCGGCTGTGGGAAAGGGAGCTGGAGCTGCTGGGGGTGTGATTGATCCCCACCGGCTGTGATGAGAGAGCAGTGGCCAGGTGAACCTAGACAGACAGCTCGATGGCCAGAGCCAGGCGTACAGGTTTGGGGCCATGTGTCTGGGTGCCCCCTTGCCTGGAAAATTCCCGAGACTCTCAGAGATGAATTTCAATGAGTTCATCAATTTTGCAATTTTTGTGAGTCTTAAGATCCCTTCGACATAGTCGGAGCTCCGTCAGCCCCTGATGGAACAGATCCGATCTTGAACCAGGTGTCTGGGGCTCCTGGCACTTGCTCTCTCTACACTGGAAGACTGCCATTGGGGTATGTCCCCCCACACAGGTCCTGGGTATGTCCCCACTGCCCTCAGGGGAGCTCCACCCTCTCAGGTACTGGGACATTTTCTTCTCTCCATTCCTCCTCCTCCCAGGATGCATTCTGGCCAGTCTGAGAACCGCTCGAGTGTGCCAAGCTCGGATGCAGATGCCAGGGACCAACGGTGTGCGTGGAGAGTGACTGCGGCAGGGAGTGTTTGGGTGCCTGACTGGGGCGGGGAGGCGCCACTCTTCTGTCCAGCCTTGTGGGAACCCTCCCCCAGCAGGCAGGGCTACCCCTCCCACAATGCCAGACCTGGACAGCTGTAGACAATGGAGATGCTCCCTGGGGAGCCAGGCACCTGCACACCACAGTGCGGTGCAGGGAGTCCCACCCCAGCCTGAAGTTTCACTGCGGCAGAAAGAGAGGGATTACACGGAGCTTGCCAGGAGTACCCACAGAGGAACTGCCAAGACTTGGCAGGACACGTTACTTAGCTTCACCAGGCATCATGTTTCCTAACAGCAAAAGACAAGTGTACTGCTCCTCCCTGGGGTAGCCAAACTTAGAGACAGACAGGGAAGGTCCAGAAACAGAAAAAACGAAGAATGCAAGGCTGTGAGTGGTCTGAAGTGGCCGGCCCTGCTGGCCTCCCTGGCAGAGGGGCCCGAGGAATACTGCCCTGGCCTACCCACAGGTGTGCTGGGACAGAGACTAGGACGCACCTCCCAGACCAGGCCGCGAGCAGATGGTCCAGGGTTCCAGGGGCAAGGATTAGGCAAATCTGCAATAGAAGCCCAGGCTCCCTCCAGGGGTCCCCACAATCTGTGCGCCTTCAGTAGAAGAGGTGTGGAAGAGAACGCTCAACAACACACGGATTTACTGGAAGATGGTTTGCACCTGTCCTCCGGGTCTCACAGGACCGTGTACTTCCCAAGGCCAGGGAACACACCTGGCTCATCCGCACTCCGCCCAGCCTTGCACACTGGAGGTGCTCAGCAAACACTTGTTGAATTAAACTGACAGACAGTCTGTCTTCTCCCTTTACTCGTTCCCTAGATCTTTGGGTGAGGTCCTCCCCAGCCCCATCCTGAGTCCCAAAGTCTTGACCCCCTGCTTCTGTCCCTTGGTCCATGTCCAGAGGGCAGGTCTCTTGTCCCCTTCAGCCTGGGAGCCCTCCGAGGAGAGTTCATGATTCTTCATTCCTTGGACTTCATTCCATTCTTTTCGCCCAGTCCTGCCCTGAAACCACTAGTATTTGCACCTGAGCCCACCAGCGTGCCCCAGCCCTGTCCCAGCCACCACATCCCCTCCAGGAGAGAAAGGAAGCTGTGTGTCCTCATCTCTGCAGATCATGCGTGTTCAGCACAAAAAGTGGGAGCGATAGCCGAGGCATGAGTCATCTGCCCCCGGCGATGGCTGGCAGCCTCGTTTGAACTTTGAGCCAGACTCAGCAGGATGGGGACTGGCGGTGTAGCAGCACGAGCCCCAGCAGCTCTTCTCCAAGCCCTCACCTCGGGGAGGAGTCGAGGAAAGAATTCTTCGGCCTCCAACAAACCCCACAGGAATTCTGCCCGCACCCAGCTCTGGGTCCCAGCAGGATTCTCAGGGTGGCAGGGACGTGAAGGAGACCGGCCCTCTGTGGACCAGGGAGCTGGATACCCCAGCTCTCGCTCATGCACCATGTCTGGCCAAGGCTGCTTGTGATGCTGGGAACCCCACCAGCCTGTCCAGGTCTTTCAGACCCCACATCTGGAATTAGTCCTGCCACAGTTCAGGCGGGCTTTGGAGGTGCACCCTCCTGCCGTTATCTGGGTCACAGTAATAAGTGGGCCCTGGGGTCAAGTTTTTCTGTGCAAGGCCTTCGCACACATTGTGGGTCACCGCACAGGTTCAAGAGTTAGCAGGCCCACTCTGGCCATGTGTCGGTCCTTGAGCTGTGGGGACCCTGGACACATAGCCCAGCCTCTCACTGCAGTGCCCCACCCTGTGCGGGGAGATAAGCATTCTGCACACAGGGAAAGGGGCCTGGTCAGCGGAGGCCATGCAAGCTGGAATGTGCATCTGGAGCTGGCTGGGGTTGGCAGGGGGCCATGGGGGGCAGCCTTGCCCCCCCCCTCAGGCTTCACAGGCAATTGGCACTCGTGGGGTGAGACTGCGGAGCTCTCAGCCTCCGTCCAGCAGGTCCCTGCAAGCCCGGGAATGTTCTTCCCTCACTTGTAGGTGTTTTGCCAATGGCATACCAAAGTCTTTGAAAATCCCCCTCAGTTGATTGAAACTATGGGCTGGAAATCAACAAATGCTTTAATTAGTCAGAGGAACTGAAAAAAAAAAAAATACAGCAAAAACCTCTGCCCTCTGCTTTCTCAGGGAGGGTGGTTTTATCTTTTTTTAATAAACAATCGTCTGGGACTTAGCCCGTGCCAGGTTCCATCCTACAAACTCTGCGTCTGTAAATGTAAAATGGTGGGTAAGCAGAGGGCTTTTCCCATCTTGTTGGCATTTGCTTTGGTCCTCACATGTGGGTGTGAGTGCCTGGTGCTCTGGACATCTGCAGCCTTCCCCACTGGACAGGCCGGAACCCGATCCCTTCATGCCGGGCTTCCAGCCCTGTGGCGTCCGAGGCCTGAAGGGCGTGGTTTCCATTCTTAGGTGGCTGACATCCCTTCTCCCTGCTGCCTTCTGTGCCGCCGGAGCCACCACTCGGGATGGGAAGGTGAGGCAGAGACTGGAGCTGCCCTCTTGCAGTCTGCCTGGCACACCGTGTCCTCGTCCTGAGTAGCTTTAGGGCAAGGCACCTGGGACGGAGTCTGGTTTCCATCTGAATTTCTTTTCCGCTTTGGGTGAGCTCCGCTCGCAGAGGGTGACTTGGGGCAGGAAGTGATGACAGGGCGGGAAAGAAAAGAGACAATAGCTGAGGTGGGAAATGTCACTGCTCCCAGGACCAGCCTCAGAACACCTGGAGGCGAACGGATGCCATCCTGGCCCAGCTGCACCTTCCTCTCCACGTCCCACAGGCACACGGACGCGGCCTTGCTCACCGTCCACTGGGACCCACAGTCATTGTCAAGGGCTTGTGAAAATAGGTTAGCTTTCTCCAAGAGAGACATAGCATCAGAAGCAACTG